GCCTGTATTATCATCTAATATTAAATACAATCTCTATTTAATAATCTTAACACACACAATCCCAAAATACGTCCATTCACGCCGAAACAATTTAGACAAAATCATTATTTCAAGTTACCGATGGCCTTACAAACTAATCCAATAAGTCTCGCTATCTCTCGAGTCCAATTATGAATGTCAACGTCATCCAATTGTTTTTGACAACCTAGTATTCCTTAGGATCTATTTTCTAGGCCCAAGAGTTCATTCGGGGACATCTAAATGTTGAAATCACATTAAATACCCAAATGGACAGAATCTGTTTTCTAGGTTTCCATCACCGTCCACTCATTTTTTCAAATTCTTTTTCATGTCCTTACCTACATTTAACGGTTCCCAAACTTTTACCACACACTTATAACATATATGTGAAGATAATCAGATCATAACATTGTGACAAATGAAGTGTTTGGAGCTTCAAAAACAGTCCATTTTCCACTACACAAAATCAGGCAGTTTTTCCCTTTGACTGTTTTCGGTTTCCATTCTATTATTATGATACCAATAGAATTATAGGCCATTAAAATCATTTCTACACTCCCCAATTACATATAAAAACGTTCATATTGATATATATAAGTTAAACACTAAGTATCATCCCAAAATCAAGGTATAAATCACTCAATCCAGCAATTCCTCATCTCTGTCCAGATTAATTTCTTTCAAATTCGTGCCATTAATTACCCCTATTTAGGCATCATAACATCATTAACAATACTCCAACTTAATCACAAACAACTTCAGATGTTCAAGAAATCATAAACCCCTTAAGAAATAATAGAAACAAACCTCAAAACTGTGGAGTAACAAGGCTGTTCAGAAATTCCAGCTTCTTGTTTCTGTTTCTCTTTGACTGTTTCACCCTCTTTTCACTTGGAATCACTTAGGGACGAGTTCAGGGAGTTAATATATTATCTAGGAGGTAAATGAGTGGTCTTTAAATAGTTGAAGTCGTGCATATTACTTAAGGATTAAGAATATCATGGGCTGCAGCCACCTCAAGCAATCAAGGTGAGTCACTAAGCTGGAGCTGTCATCTTGGCTGCAATACTTGACTTTTCTACCATTATTTTTGTGTCCATTTATGATATTTAAGATATATATTCATCCTATATTAAGTCCTTGGGGATTAGACACGAAATTTATGCCTTAAGGTTGAAGCAATTATATATTAAAGTGAAAAGTCCCCTAGCATGAGCTGTCCAAGTAGGAGGTGGCTTCTTGCAGCCAACTTTGACTTCTCCCTTACACCACATGGAGCCATATGTGACTTAGAAGAGTTATAAATATCTTGTGTAAAGTTCTAAGGACTTATAGGACGTGTTGGAGGCTTAAGGTTGAAGGAATTAGAGGTTAAAGTGGCAAGTCGTCACATGCTAAGTAGGTGTTGTCTCCTTTGATTAAATTCTGATTTTACATCTATCCTTGCACGTATAAATCAGGTGTCATTCGTTTATTTTGATGTGCTTACAATCTATTTCACTTGCATTAAGATCCCAAAGTACTTTATTGATCAAATTCCTCAACTGTTCATTTAATTTCTTACCCGATTCTCAACCGATTTCAACAATTCGCACCTCAATATTTATAATGTCGTATAAGACATATATTATTACGTTGTGATAATGTCACTCCATCCCTCATGTCCCAAATATGCGAATTACCTATCTAGGGTTTAAGGTGACCTCGATTAGCCAAATGGAAAGCTTGAACCTTCGTTGATACAAATTTTCGGCCTTTCAAATATTACATTACTTAC